CCCCAAAACCCCAAAACCCCAAAACCCCAAAACCCCAAAACCCCTTAGAAAGATAAGAGAATTGAATTTTGGCCATTATGGCTTCCTTCGCTATCCTAATTTGAAATGGTAAATTCGGTGCCAGACTGACATGTATTATCCTCAGTTCATGAAAACCACAGAAGCTTGTAGGATGCTACTGCCAGAGATGTAGGATTATTTATTTGCCCAATAAAGGGCTAAAACTAAGGAAATAAATTTCCTATAAAACATTTTCCTCATGAGCTATAAATTATAAGTCCTAAATCAATTGCTGCATAAATGAATTGAGATGAATTATTATTCCTTCCCTTCTTCAGGACCAGCATCGATGTCTTTGTTAGGTTTCTTGGACTTCTTCAGCTCAGCTTTGACACGAGATTCTACTTTAGTAAATCTCTTGATCTTGAAATCATCAGCTTTGGAGCTGACAGGTCCTTCCTTTTTGGTCTTTTGGAATTCCATCTTCTTCTCCTCAGCCTTAGTGGTTCTGATACCTGGCACCTTTTTCTTAATCTTTGGCTTCGTTGTCATCTTTTTGTAATTTTCCTCAGATTCTTGCTCAGCATAGGTCCCGTAGGTATTGGAGATGACTCCTTCTATAGGAGTTGAGGGTCTATTCATCATTCCGTAGATCATGTCAGGAGGTGGAGCTGCCTTTTTACCCTTGTGTTTTGGCTCAGCTGATACCTTAAAGTCCCTTGAGTCTGTAGCTCCTGACTTGTTCATGGAGAGAAAGTCCTTTTTGGACGAAGTTACCCTACTTTGTTGGTGATATGCCCAAGAAGAAGTGACTTCTTTAGCACCTTCGGAGTCCTTCTTCTCTGGTCGGCCATATGCAAAACCGTCTTGTGGGAGTTGATAAGAACATGGTTTGGATTTACCTACATCATCCTTTGATAGCAAGGGATTGCTACCCTTCCATTTTAGAGCTTTCTCCATTAGAAATTATTTTAAATAAAAATTTTAAAATATTTTCTTGTCAATTTTTCATAATAATGAGGGGTTTTGGGGTTTTGGGGTTTTGGGGTTTTGGGGTTTTGGGGTTTTGGGG